AAATACAATCATAACTTCTTAATGCATAAAACAATAAAGCTCTCAATAATAATCATGAAAAATTCTAATCAAATTTCACTCTAGAGTTAGTCAGTATTCTGCTAGCATATTAGGCCTAAATAAATGTTATGTTAAACCAGGAATCAACACATGCTATTTTCCATAACAGGAGCCATATAAATTACAAGCTCTTCCATGTTTTTTTAACTAGATTTGGTACACTTAAGAATCAGCAGTATTCTCCATCCAGAGTACTCTAATGCAACTGATTTTGTATCTTTTAGAATTTATAATTCATCCTAATGCTCAATCCTTTAAAAAAAAAAAAAAAACCACAATAGGATCTGCTACTTACTATCTTATCTTGCACAGTAAAATTGTGAGCATTTGCTAGGTTTCTAAATCCATAGGTTTTGCTCTGAGGTTTCAGAAAAAAGCAACTTTATTTTCTTTTGGTTATTACATATGATTTTAGCTTACAGATGATTAATTTTTAACACTAACATCCTGCTATATTCTCATTTGAGTTGTCCTATTTATTTCAAAGGTAGACTTTATGTATTACCATTACAAAAAAATAACTATTTGCATAATACTTTATGATTTTACATCTATTACAAACACATCACAGGGAGCCTGAGGATGCATTCAGCAGCTTGTCATTCACCACTTCAAGACCCTTCAGAACCAAACAAGAGGGAGGGTGACATTTTGCTAATGGCAGAAGTAAAGAAATGAATATAAATAACAAACCTTGAGGTTTTAAAAAATACAAACAAAAATATGCATAAACAAGATAGTTTTAATTTGTAAAAGTCCAGGTAAAGATGTATGTGTCTTCTGTTATGATACCCTTTTAAATTATCTAAAACTGTGCTACAAAAATAAAGAAATTGCCATCTTGTTGAATTTTATAAACTAATATATTAAAATTTGATTGTACCTTTTACAGAATTCAGCTTTTCCTCAGCTTTGTGAAATAATCTGAGTATCCTTTCTTTATTACTATGGATTTAACCCTATAAATATGCATAGTAAGAATGTTTAAGAGGGAAATAATAATGATCCAACATGTTTAGAAATCATGTTGTTCCATAATTTCTTCTTGGTAAAACAATTACAAAGAAAAGTGTTTAAAGCTTCTGTATTTTCTTCCATAACCACCAGTCCAGATAAAAAAAAAAAAATACTGAATGCTCAATTATGACATCTCCAGTCTAAATGCTCATAGCACTTGAAGCTTTTTGTAAACAATATGCCTCTATACTACATACATATCCCTTGAACCACCATCTACTTAACATTTTTAAATGTAGTTTCAAATGCAGTGTAACACCATCTTACACACACACACACACACACAGAGGAGTGTGCAGAAGAGGAAGGAGGTGGAGAGCAAGAAATGGAGCACGTTGTTGTTTTTCATTCATGCAGTATAGTGATGTCAGCGTCTGCAGCGGCAGCAGCCGCGGCGGCAGGAGCCTTGACCTGTGGAGGCTAAAATCCACTGAAGTCAGAACCTCACAGAATTCAGAAGAAACTGAGTAGATAATGTTTGAAAAAATGTTCAAATGTTCATAGAATGGATTTTAAATGGCTAAACAGAATAGATTAGTTGCACAGTTTTAATATGGGTAGAGAGGAGCACGGCGGGATGTGGAGAAGTAACATAAAGGTAATATAATCAGGGAACTGGGGGCTCAAGAGCCTGCATTCAAAATCCCTTAAATGTAAGAAACTGACAAAACCACCTGGTGTTAAAGACAGCAGAAAAGCCTCTTCTATTCCCAATACAAGCTCTGTAGTGATGCAAATCTGTCTGCTGCACAACCAGACTCAGGGAAGTGTTTTCATCATGATTACATTAAAATTGCATTAAACTCAGATATGCCACACTACAACAAGGGGGATAGTTTAAGCCTGATCACAAATTTCATTAAAACTACTTTATGATGGACCATGTAATTCTTAAGCAATTAAGGCTTTTGAAGGATGCAGAAAAACAAGTTGTACTATGACGTGTTGTAAGATGTTAGTGTTTATCAACAAAAGGGGAGCAGGCACTAGATGGCCATTATACTGTTGCAGCAAATACTCTTACTTTGCCCACAAAACCCTCTGTACACAGTCTGAAATGCTTATTCTATGGCTGTTACATTAGTCCCTAAAAGAAAATCCCAAAACTCAATCTATGCACTGTTGAAGTTAAATCACTCAAAAATTTCTCTAACTGCTGCCTTCTATTTGTTCTTTTACCTCTCATTTCATAAGGCTCCAGAAAATGTGCAAGGGAGCTGCATATGGCATTAATCTGTTAGAAAATGGTGGCCTTTTCTATAAAATACAGCCAAAGATGTGTGTTCAGTTGTGGTCATTATTAGGGCGATCACGTTGTTTTCATTCATTCATTCAGGATTTGCTGGAGGATGTCAGTTTCTGCAGCAGCTGGCTTGACCTGGGGGAGGAGTGGGGGAGCAAATTCCTCCTGGTGCATACAGATTACAGGAGGTATTTCTTGGTGCTCATGTACACATACCACTGCACTACATCCTACTCTGCCACACCATCAAGTGGTCTGAAAACAAGTGCCTTAGCAACATGCTAATTACCAGCCAGAAATATTTAAAAAAACACCACCACCAAAACTGCAATCCATCATAACATAATCACTTTCTCCAAGTCTAGGTCTTTCATTAAAAAGCTCCATTAAAAAAAAAAAAAAAATTTCCACATACCACATCAACGTACAGAGCTCCACAGTGTTTCCCTTCCAAGCAGAGAGTTTTCCACTCGGTATGATCAGTTGTCTCCACAATGCTGCTGCAGCAGCAGCATCTGTAGCTCTAGCCTGGTATCTAATTATATTAGCTACACCACTCTCCCTTATGAGCTTTAAGTCCCTGTTTTGGCTAATCTTCCTTTTCTCCCCCAGGACCCAACTAGATCATGCACTGTGTCCCCAGACATAAACAAAACCAAACCAAAACACAAAACATTAAGGGAAGCCGACAGCATCTACTAGCTCACCATTACCTTTGACACCTAACAAAAAAGAAACTTGAGATCCTTTAACAGCTCAACTGAACTGTTAAGTGTACTTAAAAATGGAAGGAAAAAGTGAGCACACTCCACAAATAGGTCTTCAGAAATTTACCATGAAAATCTTGAGTTGGGCATAGACGATTTTCAGCGAAGTACTGCTCTGATGCATATGACTATATAAAGTAGAAAAAAAGAGACCAAAAAAAAAAAAAAAAACCCACCAAAACACTATACACTTCAATTGCATATCCAAAACTGTCTCTTCTACACATCCAACAGATATCCTCATAACTAATGCCATCACCCTTCCAAAAAAGAAGAAATATATATATCCCAGTAGTCACAGACACGTTAGGAACTTTGTAGGAAAGCACAAAGAGGCTGTGGATTACAACCACCACCTTATCGGCTGCCAGAGTTTGTGTGCGTGTATTTTTAAGTGTTTCGCCCAGCTCCTCCTTCCCCTGCTACCAACAGCAAACACATGAGTGAGCTAATCAGCTCACGAACTGAAAAACCTTTCGATGCAGGCGAGTGATGGAAGATAAAATCTGAGGGGCGGCATGTGGGTCAAATAAAAGTTGCTTTTCAGTTCGCTCCTCCAAGCCCCGCAACGACCGCAGGGAGGTGAGATTCCCAAAGCCACTTTCACACCTTCGATAATGCACTAGCAAAGAGAAGCCCGGAGAGGCTGAAGTTTCCACGGAGGGAACCGTCGGGGAAGACGCAGCCCGGGAGGACGGAAGGGTTGGGCTCGCTACCTCTGCACACGGGCGAGCCGGGGCTCCGTCTCTCAGGTGAGTTGCTCCTCCGGTGGTTCTCGGGGGACCGTCTCGGGCGGCCCTTGGCCCGCGGCGCCTGCTCGGTCGGGGCCGCGGCTGCGGCCGGCGGCAGCGTCGGGCTGGGCGGGCTGGGGCCGCGGGCCGCACCGGGCCCCGGGAGGTTGCCCAGCGAGGCGACGGCGGCGGCGGCGGGTGGGCGCGTGGGACTGTGCTGGCTGCCCCGCAGGAGCTGGTAGGGCACCGTGGCGCGGATGGGCTGCAGCAGCCGGCCGGCTCCCGCAGCCGGGGCGCAACCCACGCCGCCGCCCGCACCGTTCCCGTTGCCGGCGGAGGGGGCGGCGGGCGGGGAGCCCGCGGCGCTGCGCCGCATCCTCTGCGGCGGGGGATGAGGGGTCTGAGAGGAACTGGAGGAGGAGGCAGTGGACATGGTGGCTCCGAGGGCCCGGGACGACGCCGGCCGACACGGAGGCGCAGAGCGGGAGGCGCGCGAGCGTGTGGGAGCCGGCGCGATAGTGCGTGCGAGTGTGTAAGGGGGAGGGGCGGGGGTATCGGGGAGGAGGAGGAGTCTCTCGGCTCCCCCTTCCCAACGCGCACCCCCGCCGCCTCGGCGAGGGGGGGAGGGGAAGGCTGCGAAAACAAACGCCCAACGGCCCCAACCGGCGGGCCGTGCTCGGTGTGGCGGTCACGGCCGGGGCCGCGAGGAGCCCGGAGCCGCCGCCGCCCCGGGCATCGCGCTGACAGGGGAGAGGGGCAACAGTCCGGATCACGCAGCCTCGGGGGCCGCTCGCTGCCTCGCAGGGCTGCACGCGCGGGATCGCCCAGCAACTGCACGCAGGCCCGGACCCCTGCTTCTCGGGATCGGGACAGGAGGAAAGGGCCTCGAGGTGTCTCGCTCTCCGCGGATCCCGCGCCACCGCAAACACCGCCGCCGCCGCCTCCGCCTGCTCCTCACTCCAAATGGCAACTGATTTCCCCACCCGCACCCCGCCCCCGGCACCGCCTCCCGGCCCTCGGACCCGGCAGCTGCCGCAACGAGCATTCCCATTGGCTCCGCCGCTCTCCACCAGAACTCGAGTGATTGGTTGGGGAGTAGGAGTGAGAGGAGCACTCGCCAATGAGAGTGGTGCGTGCTACTTTGGAGGCGGGGCGTGAGGGAGTAGAAGAGTGAGGAGGGGGCTGGATGTGGACGCAGGGAGAGGCGTGAGAGTTGACAGCCTTTGAGGTGAGAGCGAGAGTTTGATTGGGCTGCCGTAGGAAAGTGGGTCCGTGCGTGTCCTGCGTGTGCCCCGACACCCAAAGACAGACGCACACCCCGGTAAGCCAGTTGCGAGGGCTCCACCCTCCTGCGCCGATTGTACAACTTGAGATATACGACACTTAAGGCTAACTTTACTTTGCAAGGACACCTGTTCTGTTGGGACGTTTTAGAGTTGGAACCAGAAGAATCCATCCCTTCCCCTCTAACTATAGTAATTTGAGTTTTTGTGGCAAGTAGACTGACTAATGGATCAAAAGAACTTCAAGGCATCAGAAGCAAAGTCTAGAAGCTGGCCTGAACCAGGGGCCAATATTTTTATAAAAGTCTATCCTTAGATTTGTAGTTATGCAGTGAAAAGAGAATCCAATCTTAGGTTCCAAGACAATAACTGAATTGCATGGGTTAACAAGGAATTGTACATCATTACACCATCAGTTAGATATATTAATGGAGGGCACCCTGTTGCCTTTCCCCAGAAGCAGATGGCCTCTTGGGAGAAATAAATACCAGACTTAATGTAACAATCCACTGTGGTAAATTTAGTTTTTATTCTGCAGTGAGACTGAAGAGATATGAAGATTTTGGATGACTATCAAAAACCTAAGTTTACCCCATAGTAAACCAAGGTTTTAAACCTTAGGCAGAAAAAAAATAAATACACCTTAAGCAGGAACAGTTAATTTAAGGGTCTACATCAGATACTCTCTATTAATTTCCATGAGATAATGAGAGAGAAGTGGGTTTTCAGATTGGTCTACTCTTGGTGTCTGCCCACACTGACAAGTTTCCTTTGATTTTAGGCACTACATGCAGGGTTTAGTTTCACTTAGAGGAGTCATCCCTCTCTGCTTCCTTGTGCTCTCAGTCCAAAAAGCATACTAGCTTCTATAAAAAGTAGATGAAACCCAGTAAAAATTCAAGAATTGCATCCAGTACTTCCCATTAAGAACGGTGGTAGTTCCTCACTTTATCACACACTAGAATAATAGCTAACATTTAATGAACGTTCATCATGTGCCAGCCACTGGTCTAAGAATGTTTTATGTGTTAACTCATTGAGCTCTACTATAATCCACAAGGTAGATATGTTCTCAGCTAACGCACAAAAAAGTTAAATGTCTTGCCTGAGATTACTTAGCTAGTAAGTGGGGAGCTAAGAATCCAACCTAGGTGAACTAACTTGAATCTGTGAGTAAGCCCTCTGTTCTAGCACATCACAGCTTAAAGCTGTGGACTACATGATTGGTAGAGTATTTACAACAGTCCATGAGTGTGAGATAAGTTCCCATTAGATCAAAAGAAATTTTACAAGTGAAGATAGCCACTACCTATATGTTTTTCTTTCCACAATAACATGTATTTTAGTTATACATACAGTAAATTCTCTTTTAAATTTGGTGTAATTGATCTATTGTGTTAGTTTTTCCATCTAAAATTAAAGACTTCATTAATTAGGAAATTGCATTCTTTTATGAGGAAAAAGCAAGTAGCTTCTTTGCAATGACTTTTTTAGAATATCACAAAAATCTTGAAAGATTAAAATATGTGAAGTTAAAAAAAAAAGCTAGTAAATTACTAAGTTGTTGATTTGATTACAGCATAGTTTCATTATAGAAATGTCCTCTCTGGCCACTCCTAAATATAAGTATGGAACAACCTCAACACATTAGATTACAATAATTCTAAATTTATACCAAGCCACAGTCATAATGATCAATACTTGATTTGGATCTAAAACCACATACCTAGCCATATTTTAAAGGCTTTCTATGTCTTTCAAATCTACCATAGCCAATTAAATCAGGCATCTAAAACAAATCTAAACAACCCACACAGAGAACTACTATGACATTAAAATCCTATTTTCAGTTACTTATAAGTCATCATGACCTATTTGGATGTTCAATCAGCTTCTCTTTGCTAAAGAAATCTTGATCGTCTCTTAAACCTTTATTCTTGCAAAATAAGTACTGATCTTCATACGTAAGGAATTCAGGCTCCAAACAAATCAAAGATGGGCTAAAATAAACTAAACCCTGCTTTCAAATGTCCATTTGTTGAGTTCTTAATAATGTTTTATTCTTATCAAGGATGAGAGTAGGCTCTCAGGGCATAACAGAAACTTTAGGAAAATGTTCTCCTCAGGAAACTGGAAAACCTTTGGAAGGAGGTGTGGGTTGCTTGGCTAGCGGGGCACTGTTATACTACTGTGCTAGCTATGGGATAGAAAGGTCCAGAGCAGATTATTTCTATTGGTTGAATATAAGTGGGACAATCTCTGCAAATTCTATAGGAGACTTAATGTTAGTAATGATCTCTTTCCTATGTTGCCCTGTCTAGAAGAAAACAACATTGAAAAAACAATTTGGTGGCATGGGAACCACCTTTGTTCCCAGTAGCCTTATGTCTTGGCTGTCTGTGGGACAGAAATCCACCATTAGCTCATTTGAGGTAAAGTTCTATTATATTTACTTCTTAGTTCATATATAGTAATGGACATATTTTGGATTAAATTTACACTTGGAATCAGTGGCTACATATGATTAATATGCAGGCCCATGGGGAGAGAAAATGAGGTAAAGAAGCATTGGGCCTACTCAGCTATCAAGACTCTCTTTTCTGGTTTCATCCAGGTTTGCCAGGCTGCACATCCAAGGTTCATCCAAATCTAAGAGGCAGGCCAGGCTGTCAGTATTAGCAATGAGGTCATGGCTGAGAGACAACACTAAACAGATCTGCACTGATGTTCATCTTAAGCTGATTAAACTCTCTTGTAGGTGGATTCTTTATAGCAACAACAAAAAAAGCCTTGCCTGAATTTTTGTCCCTGGCAGATGCTTACAGTAATACTCCTTACTGCTTGTGACAGCCTACGTGCGCCTTTGCACTAGGGGTTCCCTCTGCCTGAAAAGTTCTTGCCCCAGATACCCACGTGGCTTGCTCCCTCATTTCCACCAGCTCTTGACTCAGACGTCACCACCTTCATGATGAGAGCTTTTCTGAAAACCCTTGTTAAAATTGCAAGCACCCCTAGGCATTTTCTATTCTCTATCCTACCTTCTTTTCCCCAGAAAACCTATCACAATCCAACCTATTATATATTATAGTTATTTTGTGTTCTGTCCATCTAGAATGTAAGAGCTGTGAAAGCAAGACTTTTTATTTTATAACCGCTGAATCTTCACAACAGTGCTTGGTACATGGTAGACAATCAATATTTGCTCAATATTGTTGAAAGAGTAGCAAATTTTTACCAGTGCTTGTTGAACCAAAACTGTGCCTTTTATCAGAAAAATATATATTTATAACCATGGGTAGATCTGCTGAAAAGACATAGCCACAGAGTGGAAAAATGTTCCATGTGGCTCCTATAAACCATACAGATATTTGCATTGGAGGTGGGTGTTCAAAAAAAGAGCACATCTTGTATTCTGGTCCTTATACAGGCAAAGTGAAAAGTATTAGTCCTGTTGGATATTGGGGGCTCATCAGAGGTTGGAAATGGACAGTGAAATTGGTGATGGAGAAACAAGCAGTTGAAATTTGCAGGAAAAAAAAAATAACCAAGTGAAATTGACAGAGAAGCACAGTTGAGGACAGTTAGGGAATGACATCTGCTGATTTCTAGTCTGTTCTCTCTCACTGTTAGGAACAGTTATTCCCAAGAGGCCTGTATAAAGGAACTGAAAAAAATTGTATTTAAGTGGAAAGGAACATTTCATGTAAATAATCAAATTTTTGCTTTCTTTTTCCCTAGCTTTATTGAGATATAATGACATAAGATGGTATAAGTTTAAGGCGTACAATGTAATGATTTTGCACTATATAGGTCTATAGTGCAAGATTAACACAATAAGGTTATTTAACATCCCTTACTTCACATAGTTACATTTGTGTGTGTGGTGAGAACTTTTAAAATCTATTTTCTTAGCAACTTTCAAATATATAATATAGTATTGTTAACTACAGTAACCTCACTGTACATTATAGCTCCAGAATTTATTCATTTTATAATTGGAAGTCTGTATCTTTTGACCACCTTCACCAATTTTCCTCACTCCCCACCCCCTGCTCCTGGTGACCACCAATCTGTTCTCTGTTTGATAAGTTTTGGGGTTTTTTGTTTTTTTTTTGTTTTTTAAGATTCCACATATAAGTGAGAATGTATAGTGTTTGTCTTTCTGCATCTGACTTATTTCACTTAGCAAAATACCCTCAAGTTTCATCCATGTAATTACAAATGGCAGGATTTTTTTTTCTCTTTTATGACTAAATAGTATTACACTGTATTATATATATTTTATACTTATATACATTTCCATGTCTTGGCTATTGTAAATAATGCTGCAATGAACATGGGATTGCAAATACCTCTTTGAGATACTCATTTCATTTTCTTTGCATATATATCCAAAAGTGGGATTTACATAGTAGTTCTACTTTTAACTTTTTTTTTATTTCTCTCATTTCTTTTTTTTTTAATTTTATTCTTATGTTAATCCCCATACATTACATCATTAGTTTTAGATGAAGTGTTCCATGATTCATTGTTTGTGCACAACACCCAGTGCTCCATGCAGAATGTGCCCTCCTCAATACCTACCACCAGGCTAACCCATCCTCCCACCCCCCTCCCCTGTTTTTGAGGAATTTCCATACTGTTTTCCATAGTGGCTGTACCACTTTACATTTTCACCAACAGTGCTCAAGCGTTCCCTTCTCTCACCTCACCCGCACTTGTTACCTCTTGTCTTTTCTGAAAAAGAAATTCTAACAAGTGTGAGGTGATAGCTCATTGTGGTTTTGATTTGCATTTCCCTGATGATTAATGATGTTGAGCATCTCTTCATGTACCTGTGACCATGTGAATATGTTTTTTGGAAAAAGTCTCTGTTTAGGTCCTTTGCCCATTTCCTTTGCCGTGCAGAAGGCTTTTTAGTTTAATGTAGTTCCACTTGTTTGTTTTGCTTTTGTTTCTTGTACTTTGGGCATCGTATCCATAATATCCTTGCTAAGACCAGTGGCAGGGAGCTTTTTCCCTCTGTTTTGTTTCTAAA